TGAGACTCCAACTCAAAAAAAAAAAAAAAGGAAAAGGAAAGAGGAAAGAAGTTGAAATTTACCAAGGGAGCCCAACCAAACAGCCTCCTCAGTCAAGGGCCTTGAAAATGCTTCCCTGATTGACAGTTTCCAAATCCAATGCTCCTCTTACTGACCAGAGCTGGTGCTCACATGATCTGCCTGGCACTCACCTGGACAGGTGTCTGAGATGACTCCTCTCTCGGTGGTCCACAGCCCTCTTCTTTGCTCCAAATGAGACAATGTACTGGGTTTGCATAGGTGATCTCCTGCTCGAGAAAAAAGACACATGCTGTGGGAGAACTGTGCCCCACCATGACACTGGGGCCGATATTCTGAAGTCTTTAGGGACTCTGGAGATGGAAGCAGTAAAATGCATATGCCTATATTCTGATGGACATAGCAAAACTCTTTCACTGATGAATCAAACACATTTTCCCTCACTGGGTCCTGGAAGATACTGGGGCTCTCTAGTCCCCAAAATCCAGGGACTTGCTTCTTGAGAAGCCCAAAGAGACGAAGAGCAGAGAATAGATCTTCATTTTCATGAAGAAGCCACTAGACTGTAAGCATCGTGAGAGCAGGAATTGTCTTTTCACCTTTGGATTCCCAAACCTGCAGTTTCTGGAACCCATGGTTGCTGTACAAGTATGTGGATGAAGTGACAAGCCAGCCTTACCCACAGAAGCCAGGTTCCTGTAGTTTTCCAGCATCACATCTCTGTACAGGCTTCTCTGAGAAGGGTCCAGAAACACCCATTCTTCTGGGGTGAATACCACGGCCACATCCGCAAAGGTGACTGGTTCCTAAAACACACAGCCAGCCTGTCAGCCAGGGACCACCCCTACCAGTACTCCAGAGGGTGGCAGGCTGGGGAAGGGAGGGCCTGTGCAGAGGACTTTCAGGCGGGGCCTGAGGTCTCCCAGAACCTGCCCCTCAGCTCGGGTCTCAGAACTGAACTTGTTTCTCTCTACTTTCCCTAAGTGAGAATAGCAAGAGACTGTAACTAACATCAAAAGCCTCTGTTTATTGAAAGGACTTATCTACTGACAGCTAGTCAGGAAGCTCTTTCAGATTTATCCCCCTCTAGCTCTAGGGTCTGGCGGAACCTGAGCATGTTGCAGGCAGGAAAGAAACCGCTGGGAAATGACTGAACTCTTTACTCAATGAGACCGTGAAAGCCGTGAAACAAGGACAGCTCACATCCTTGCTTTGTTTTTCCTCCTGGCATGCAGCAGCCTGGGGAAGGTCTGAATGAGGGGTGGGAGCCATGCCCAGACTGCCCCTCACCCACCACAAGAGGCCTAGCTCCTCAAAGCATGGAGAACAGCCTGTGAGTGTAGAAGATCCAGAAGGGTCACAGGGGGGCCAAGTCTGGAAACAGCAGTGCCCTTTTACAGCAAGAAGGATGCCTTACTTACCTGTGAACAGAAGGTGGGAAATCCAGGAGCCATGGCTTCCTCCTCTACGGTGTTTTCCTGGAGCCAGGCAGGGTCCTGTGCAGGCAACACTAGGGAGAAACAGGAGGCGCGAGGGTTGGTGCCTGGCCAGTAAGCACACTTGCAAGCCCCGAGGTTGCCCACCTTGGCTGAGTGACCACATGTCCACAGGGGCGCATGTACATGCCCCTGCACACACAGGCACACAAGCATGCACTCACACATGCACTCACACCAACATGCACACAGTCACAGGGACATGCACTCACACACTTGCACACACTTGCATGCATGCACACTCACATAAACATGCACACCTGTACACACACAGATATATACCATGTACACACATGCACGCAAATATACATGCACACACAGATCATCGTGCGTGTGTACACACATCCCTCCATTCCAAATCCCAAGCCCCACAGCCTCAATTCACCAGGAGACTCCGTAGTGCCTGCAGCACCCACCACACAACCCCAGCTTAGCCCTGGGATGGCTCTTCCTCCTCGGCTGCCTGGACCCTTCCTCTGCCCCACTCTGCAGGGTTATTACTGCCCTGACTCACCCCAAGTAGGCAGGGGACAGTTAAACCACTACCACCCTGCAAGTCTGTCTGAAAAGGAAACGCCCTTCCCACCTGCCTTCAAGGTGACACCACTCCTCCCTCCACACAAGCAAATGACTCTCTGGTCATCCCTCATCCCCTTCTCCCCCATCCGCCCTCCTAACAGGACCTTTCCCTTTGGTATTAAACCTGACCCATATCCAATCACTGAGCCCATGGGTGAGTTTCCTGGAGCTGCCACAACAAAGTATCACAAACCGAGTGACTTAAAACCAGACATTTATCCTCTCACAGTTCCGGAACCTGGGAGTCCAAAATCAAAGTGTCAGCAGACACACTTCCCCTGAGACTCTGAGCTGATTCCTTCCTTGCCTCCTTCTGGCTTCTCGTGGTGGCTGTGGATACTTGGTATCCCTTGGCTTGTAGATCACTCTAAACTCTGCCTCCACCATCACAGGCACACACTGGAGAGATGTATCCACAAGCCAAGAACTCCAGGGCTGCAGGCTACCGCCAGACTCTAGGAAGCAGCAGGGAAGGATTCTCCCCGAGAGCCTTCGGAGGGAGCATGGCCTTGCCAACAACTTAATTTTGGACTTCTGGTATCAAAAACGGTAAAGAGAATTTTGTTGTTCTAAAACAAAAACAAAAAGTTCATCACCTTCTTCCCAAAGCCTGCTTTCCTTACCATGTCCTTGATCTCAGGAAGTGCCATCCCTGTCTCTGATCAGAAAGCTCAATCCTTGGACCCAGGCATGGTGGCTCAAGCCTGTAGTCCCAGCTATTCCAGAGGCTGAGGCAGGAGGGTCACTAGAACCCAGCACTTTGAGGATGCAGTGAACTATGATCACACTACTGCACTCCAGCCTGAGCAACAGAGAGAGATTCTATCTCTAAAAAAGTAAAAAAGTCTTTAAATTTTTTTATTAAAAAAAAAGAAATCTCATTCTCAACACTCTACAGATCCCAACAATTAATAAGAATAAATAGTGATGCAGCTTCTTATAAAGTGTGAGTGTTCCTAACTCTTCCATCCGCCTCTGGTGTCCTCCCTGAGGCCTGTCTTCCCAGGTGCTGGAGGGTTCTGTTAAGATCACGGGTGTCACAGACTGGGGAAAAAAAATTGCCAACTGTATGTCTGACAAAGGTCTAACATCTAGGATCTACAAGAAACTCAAACATGCCAAAAAGAAGAAAACAAACAGCCCCATTACAAAGTGGACAACAGATGAATAGACAGTTCTCAAAAGAAGAGATATGAGCAGCCAACAGAACATGAAAAAATGCTCAGCCTCACTAGTCATCAAAGAAATGCAAATTAAAACTACACTGAGATACCACCTAATTCCAGTCAGGATGGCCATCATTAATAGCAAAAAACAACAGATGCTAGAGAGGATGTGGCGAAAAGGGAACACTTCTACACTGTTGGTGGGAGTGTAAACTGGTACAGCCTCTGTGGAAAACTGTGGCAATTCCTAAAAGATCTAAAACTCGACCTTCCATATGACCCCACAATCCCCCTACTAGGAATATAACTGGAAGAACTCACATCACTCTATAAAAAAGATACCAAGCCAGGCTCGGTGGCTCAGCCTGTAATCCCGTGCCTTTGGGAGGCTGAGGTGAGTGGATTGCCTGAGCCCGCGGGTTCAAGACCGGCCTAGGCAGCAAGACTTCATCTCTACAATAAATTAAAAAACCAGCCGGGTGTGGTAGCGCATGCCTGTAATTCTGGCTACTCAGAAGGTTGAGGCAGAAGGATCGCTGCAGCCCAGCAGGCGAGGCTGCGGTGGCCAGAAGCGGCCACTGCACTCCAGTCTGGGCGACCAAGTGAGACTCCAACTCAAAAAATAAATAAATAAATAAGATACCAGTACATGCATGTTTATTGCAGCATTGTTCACAGTAGCAAGTACATGCAACCAACTGTGTTGCCCATCAAAAGAGGACTGGATTTTAAAAATGTGGTACATATACAAGATGAAATATTATGCTGCCATAAAGAAGAACAAAATCACGAACTTCAAAGCAACCTGGGTGGACTTAGAGAGTCTATAATACTGAGCGATCTTTCAAAGAAACAAAGAACTGAGTATCTCATGTTCTCACTCATAAGCAGACCTTGAAAAATTATCGTAATACTATAAGAAAAGGATTGGCAGTAGCAGGAAACTGCCGAGGGGTGGGGAATTGGCAGTAGTGGGAATCTGCCTGGGGAAGGGGGGGCACACCTCATCAACGAGGGTACCTGCGTAATGAACATTTGTATACCTAACCCTGAATTGTACCCACATCTTCAAAATTTTTTAAAAGGGGAAAAAAAAGATCACAGGCTCACTGCACCACTCACCTAAAACCATCACTCCCTCCCATTGGCCTTAGAACATGGGCCAGTGTTCTTTTCCTACACCAAGCCCAGAACGATCTGGAGTCCACTCCTTCTCCAATCAGCTCTCACCTCTCCACATCCCTCTGCTTCCTTCAAGCTGCCTTCCACGGCCCTGGACACACCAGGCTCTCTGCTGCCAGGGGATTTTACTGATGTTGTTCGTAAGCCTGAAATCCTCTCTCCAAACCTCCCAAAAGCCCCACAGTACTGGGCAAGCTAAATGGTACTATAATTATTATGGTCTAAGTTGATACCACCCCTCCATCTACACAAGCAAGTGACTCCCTGGTCATGTGACTTCCTGGTCATGTGACTTCCTGGTCAACGTGGCAATGTCTAGTATTGGGTCCCTTTACAGAATACTAAAGACTAGGTTACTTAAGAGGAATCTACTGTTCACAGTTCTGGAAGCTGGAAGTCTGAGATCAGAGTGCCAGCATGGTCTGGTTCTGGTGAGGGCTCTCTTCCTGGCCTGCAGAAGGCTACCTTCTAACTGTGTCCTCATATGGTAGAGACAGAGTTCTCATGTCTCTCTTCCTTCTTTCTTGTAAGACAGGAGTCCCCAGTCCCCAGGCCATGGACCAGTACCAGTCCCTGGCCTGCTAGGAACTAGGCTACACAGAAGGAGGTGAGCAGAGCTCCATCTTATGTCAGATCAGTGGTGGCAATAGATTCTCATAAGAGCATGAACCCTATTGTAAACCGCAAGAGGCCTAGGTTGCAAGTTCCTTATGAGAATCTAACACCTGACAATGCCCTGCTCAGCCCCGGTCCATCGAAAAACTGTCTTCCACGAAACTGGTCCCTGATGCCAAAAAGACTGGGGATGGTCGTTCTAACGACACCAGTTCTATCAGATCAGGGCTCCAACCTATGACCTCATTTAATCTCAGTCACCTCCTTAAAGGCCCTACCCCTAATACAGTCACATGGAGCACTTCAACATCAACCTGTGGGGAGGGGAGCACAGTTCAGTCCACAGCATCTACATTTTGCTTGTCACAACTCAGGTGGGGTTGTGAGCTTAACTGTGTCACTCCAAAAATTCATATGTTGAAGTTCTAACCCTGCTATCTAGAATGTAATCATATTTGGACACAGGGTCTTTAGAGAGGTAATACATTAAAATGAGGTCAGTAGGGTGGGCCCTGATCCAATATGACTAGTATCCTTACAGGAAAAGAAAATTTGGACAGACACGTACAGAGGGAAACCATGTGAAGACCCAGGGAGAATACAGCTGCCTACAAGGCAAGGGAGAGGCCTCAGAAGAAATCAATCTGGCTGACATGCTGATCTTGGGCTGCTGGCCTCCAGAACTGTAAGATAATACAATTCCGTTTTTAATCCATGTAGCATGTGGCACTTTGATACAGCAGCGCTAGAAAACTCAGCCCAGGGAAGGTGCTTCTGGCATCTACTGGGCTGAGGCCAGGGACGCTGCTCAGCATCCTACCATACCCAGGTGGTTACCACTACAGAGAACGATCGGGCCCCAATGTCAGTATGCTGTGCCTGAGACACCCGGGCCTACACTTAAACATTCATCCTTTCCCGTGACTCTCCCCTGTCACCTAAGACCAAGTCCTCATGTAACATGTGTCTACTGTACCTGGCCTTCACTTCAAAATCTGACCACCCAGCCTGACTGTGAGCAACACAGGGGAGGGGTCAGTGTTTTCTCTGAGACTGTTTCCCAGTCTCCATCTCACCACAGGCAATGGTCACATCCCTTTTGAGAAGTAACAAGGAGGCAGAGGCCAGTCCAGGAGGCTTATCAAAAAAATACTGAAGAGCAACACACAATCTATGTCTAAGAATTGCCCCCAGTCAATAATATGACACAGATTCCAAATGCAAGAGTGAATGACACTTTTAAGAAACAAAGTTTATTATTCTTATTAGAAGGCAAACTTGAAGAAAATAAATACCCTGCCATTAAAGCTAAAACATTATCCATCTTCTAGAATTAATTTGTTTGCCCACTTTCTCGGGAGAAGTGACTTTGAACTTCGCTTTTTAAAAGCTCGGTAAAAGCACAGGCCATTTACAGTAAATTAAATTGTAATTTTAAAACGCAACATCATTGTGTATTCAAGAATTTCATTTTGCCCAAAGATAGGTCTAGGCTTTGCTGTAGCTGAGTGGTCCTCTCTTAACAGAAAGATCTGTCCCTGAAATACCCTTCCCTTGATGCACAAATGAGGCAGGGCTTTCCGTACCTCTCCTTAGGGTGCCGTGGCAGCGCCTGCAGTGGGAAGAAGTGTAGGAGGGATGGGATTTGAGTTCCCAGACAAAACACATGTTCCACACGGCACTCACTCACCAGAAGCCCCAGCCACCCACGCATCAGGGTGGCCCAGCACGTGCACCGGCATTGCCACCCTCTGAATCTGCATGGCCGCCTTCAGTCCCTGGACAGAGTGACAGGGGTCACAGATTAGGGTCATGTGGCCAAGGGGATCCACTCACACCTGTTCACCCTAACTGAATTTGCATGACTGGTCCTGCTTTGGGGAACATATCAGTAAAAGAAGGGTTATACACATTTACCTTGTCGACATTGACTTAATCCTGTTGACATTGACCTAATCACAGCTAATCACTGACAAAAGTTTGACTCCCAAATGAGATGGAGAGAGGGTGCCCAGGCAGGGTGGAGGAGGTAGCAAACTCTGAGGAGGTTCCAGCGTGGGGAAAAGCTGTAACCTGGCCAGATACAGTGGCTCATGTCTGTAATCCCAGCATTTTGGGAAGCTGAGGTGAGAGGACTGCCTGAGCCCAGGGTTCAAGACCACCCTACACAACATGGCGGGACATCTTCTCTACAATAAATCAAAAAATTAGCCAGGTGTGGTGGTGTACGCCTGTAGTTCCAGCTACTTGGAAGACTGAGGTGGAAGGATCACCTGAGACCAGCAGATCAAGACTGAGGTAGCCATGAGTGTTGACACTGCACTCCAGCCTGGGTGACAGTGCAACTCTAACTCAAAAAAGAAAAAAATTTTTGGAACAGGACATGGTGGTAGATAGAACGTCCCTGGGGTGAGGGGTTGGAGCAGGGGCAGGTAGGATGAGGTCCCTTCTCCTCAGGGCAGGGCTCGGGTGCCTTAAGGTTTCCTACTCCCATACCCTCCGCCTGGATACGGAAACACAAGACCCTAAGTCAAGAGGTCTTCACCAGCCTGCACATTCCTTGTTCAGCCCTCAGGACATGGGACCTCATGGTTCCCGTCAGCTTCAAGATCATGGAAGGCTGAGGCTGGGGGTGAAAGGAAAGACTGGAGGAATAAAAGCTGGACAGGAAAGGAAGGGCCCAGAGGCCAGTCTCTTCCCCAGGACTCACTTTGGGGCCTGCCAAGCACTCTGGGGACAGCCATATTCAATGCAGAAACAGACTCCAGTAATCCAAGCCCACAGCCTGGGCCTCCTGTATATCCCCAACTCCCAGTTGTAGGTTCCAGGTGCCCACTTCCTCTGCCAGCCCTCCCCAGTTCTACAGACACTTCACACTCCAGGCCCTTCCAGTTGGGGCTGATGCCCTCACAGCAAACCATCTTCCATGCTTACTGTATATCCTGGAGACCAAGGCGACTCCTGGAAAGCTGGCTGGTCCCCTTGAGTCGATGGTGCCCCCCTCTCTCCCATCGAGGGCCCGATCTGCATCCTCAGAAACAGCCCCAACCCCTAGGAAAAGACACAAGGGTACTGAGCAAGACAGAGGCAGCACTGTGGCTGTTCTCGGCCTGAGAGACCTTTGGTTTTGAGGTTAGTACTGGCAGAAGTCGAGGCACATGGGCGTGGTATCTGGTAGCTTCAGACCCGGTGACCTCCCCCCACCCCAGTCTGCTGTAGGCACCAGCCACAACCAACGAGGGTCTCCAAGGACTGATCACACTGCAGACGCAGATATGGACCTGACCTCTTTCTGGTGTTGGGGGGCCCTGGCTGGAGGTTAGGACAAAGTCCCCAAAGACACTGAGACATTTTACTACAGAAAATTAGGGTATGTGCAAAGAAGGACAGTCATGTGAGGAGACAGCAGGAAGGCACAGAGAGAGTCCTCAGGAGAACCCAAGTTCGATCTTGAGCTTCCAGCCTCCAGAACTGTGAGAAAATAACCTTTCTGCTGCTTAAGTCACCCAAAGACAAAACAGAAAGAAAGGTCAGTAGCCCTTGGCTCGGAACCTGAATGCTGTCCTGTGTTTTTTCAGATCTGGGTGTCCAGTTTGGCCCTGTCCATCATTCACAGGGCCAAACTGATGGCCAAAGTTGCTCCCAACTCCCCTGTGACCCAGGGCCCACACGCGGGACCAGCTTCTTAGCCCATTCTCATACCCAGCCTAAATTCCCCTTCCTTAAATCCCATAGGGCTGGGTGCCTGACCACCAGGGACAGCTCCCAGCCCCCAAGGTGTACCGGAATTATTAAACAGGCCACTCCTAAGCTGCCCTGCCTCACCTTCCCCGTAGAAAACCCAACAAAGGCTGTGGCCGGGGCTCTCCCCTTGCTTCTTGCTGCCTCCAGGCTGACCCGGTGCTTCCCCACATGGGCCTGAGTGGTGTGCGTGCCCTGGCCTCACAGGAAATGTAAGGAATAAAAATCTTCCCATGACATTGGCCTTTCTGTGTCATAGTCAAAATCCTGCAGGCACATTTTGAGAAAATGACTGCATCAAAATCATTTTGAGACAGATCACTCCACTTAAAGGAACTGTTTTTAAGCATTTAGCCTGTTTGTTCCGCAAATATGCTTTGGGCACTGCTAGTGTGGGCCCTGGGGATCCAGCAGGAGACAAAAGGGGCAATGCCACAGCCTCAGGGAGCCAGTATCTAGAAGAGGGGGCCGTGGCCTTGGGACAGAAGGACTGAGCCTGGAGATGCCTGTTCCTCAGTCTCTCTTGGGGCTTTTTAAATTTATTTTTCTTTTTAAGAGAAGGGGCCTCACTCATGCAGTGGTGTGATCACAGCTCACTGCAGACTCGAACTCTTGGGCTCAAGCAATCCACCTTAGCCTCCTGAGTCACTGGGATTACAGGTGTGAGCCACCATGCCTGACTTCTTTGGGGCTTTTCTAAATGCAGTTGCCTGCCCTCTCCTTGCTGGCCCCTCCCCCGGACTAGCTGACCACAGAGGAGGAAGCCATGCAGCCTCCTCAGTCTGTCCCTGGACACCAGCACTTTTTCCATGTGACAGGGAGGCCTCAGAGCTACCATGCAGAACGTCAATGATTGAGACAAGGCCCAATGACACCCAGCATGGCCCAGAAAGACTAACTGGAGGGTCAGCCCCATCAACCCAGGGGCAGGCTGTGGGTTCCTCAAGGGGTAGCACCTGACAGGTGAGAGACTGTTGTGAGGCCTGGGTCCAACTCTCTAAGTCCACCTCCACCACATCTGGGTTGTACATCATTGGAGATGAACTCCTCAGTTCCTCTAAACATGTGTCCATGAGTGGACCTCCTCTGCTCACTCAGAACATTCTGGGACTGGCTGTTTCCTGGGGCTCTGAGGCAACAAGAGCACCTCTCCTCCCACCAGGGGACCCACTGGGCTGGATATGGAATTCTGTGGAAGGTGCCAGAGCCCCATACTGAGAAGAGAGCCCACCAAAAATGGGAGGACACCTGGCCCTTGTGGCTGATTCTCCCTTCCTCCTTCTTGGTAACTCTCCATCAAGAGATACATGGGAGTGAACGCTGGGCACCTGGAGATGCTTTCCCCAGCACCTTATTCATTCATTCCTTCATTCAACAAGCATCAATTGAAGGCTACTATATAGTGACACATAGAATGCTCTGTAATGGCAACCTGGGCAACACAGCAAGACCCCATCTCCAAAAATTTTTTTTTTATTTGGCTGAGCATAGTGGCTCATGCCTGTAATCCCACAATTTTGAGAGGCTGAGGCGAGAAGATTGTTTGAGCTCCAGAGTTTGAGACCAGCCTGGGCAACACAGACCTCATCTCTACAAAAACTCAAAAAATTAGCTGTGTGTAGTGACATGCCTCTGTAGTCCCAGCTACTTGGAAGGCTGGAGCAGAAGGATCGCCTAAACCCAAGAGGTCAAGACTGCAGTGAGCCATGAATGTGCCACTGCACTCCAGCTTGGGCAGGAGAGTGAGATTTCAAATTTAAAAAAAAAAATTAGTCAGATGTTACTCAAAAGGCTGAGACAGGAAGACTCCTTGAGTCCAGGAGTCCGAGGCTGCAGTGAGCTATGAATGTGCCACTGCACAGAATGATTGAGACAAAGCCCAGCAACATCCAGCATGGCCTAGAAGGAATAGCTGGAGAGTCAGCACTATCAGCCCAGGGACTGGATTTTTTCTTAAAAAAAGGAAAGGAAAAAGAATGTTCTGTAATAGAGTTGACCACAACTACCACATCAGATGAGGCCCCTGCAACAGAGCAGCCCCAGTAAGACATTTTCAGACATCAAAGTCTCAAAAACCCATGCACCCTTTCCCAGGTAGCTACTGAAGAATATTATCTGCCAAAACAAGAGCGTAAGTCAAGGACAAGGAGGATGTGGGGAGCAAGGAGGAATCTCAGCTGCCCAAGAGTCGTTGCAGCTGGGCAGGGCCAAGGATTTCAACTATTCTGAGCCCATACCAGGCTGTGCAGGGTTGAGGCTTCTCCATGTTCCAGAAGCTTCCCTGGCAAACAAAGGAGCATGGGTCTCTACAACATGGGCCACACCACCCCATCCAACACATGGGCCAACTCTCTGATACTGCTGCTAACCCAAGACACCAGAAAGAGGTCTTGATTGAGAGACCCCAGGGACCTTGCTGGCTCTGGGATAAACAAGCCCTACTTGGGGGTGAGGCCAAGCTCTGTGCCTCCTTCTAGCCAGACCTTAACCCAGTATCCAACCCTCAGGAATGGGAACCAAGACTTTGGAAGGTTCTGTAGTTTGAGGAGAAGGAACTCAGAGATAAAGGGAAGATGAGCACTCAGTGTGTATTTTCTCGGGCACTGTGAATGTGCAAGCTGGCTTGGAAGGCTTCTTCACACTGAAAAGGACTTCCTTCCAGTGTGGGGCCTCAATCAGCCTCCCAAGAGTTGAAGGATCCTCAACAACCTCCCCACAGTCTAGACAATCAACGTGGCCTCTCTTCTGCCAGTTTTCTCACTCAGATTCAGGTTACAGTTCCTTCAGAAACCTTTCCTGCCCACTTTAAATTCATTAGGTGCCTTTTCTCCAGGTGCCGTGTGCTCCTGATAAGAGGTAAGTAATGGCCAGGCCCAGTGGCTCACACCTATAATCACAGCTACTTGGGTGATTGTGATGGGAAGATGACTGGAGCTCAGGAGTTTGAGACCAGCCTAGGCAACACAGCAAGACCCTGTTTCTACCCCAGAAAAATTTGTTTTAATTAGCTATAGGTGCACACCTATAGTCCCAGCTACTCTGGAGGCCAAAGCAGGAGGATTGCTTGAGTCCTGGTGTTGGAAGCCACAGTGAGCTATGATCATGCCACTGCACTCCAGCCTGAGTGACAGAGAAATATCGTGTCTCTAAAAGCAAAAAGGTGAGTAATGGTGGAAAGCTTGCCAACATCTGTGCCAGTGCCCAGGGACCCTCCCTGCCAGAAGCAAGTTCTCAGTGCTGCAAGACATGCCCTGTTGAGGTAGCTCACATTCTTTGAGTTGAGTATGTTGCCGCTCTACCACAAGGCTTTCTCTTACTCAGGCGGCTTCTTTCTCAGGCAGCATGTTTCTTTTACTTGTGGAGGAGTAAGTCCTATTTCACACACCCGATGTCTGACTCACATTCATAAAAACATTTACTCAGGGAAACCCTCTATAAATAGGATCCTGAGCAACAGTCAAAGAGAGTTTGCCCAAATTCAGGAGTTACAGAGGCTCCCCCAGACGCTGCTTTCCCTTGAGATGGCCCTGCCTCCGGCATCACCCTGGCTCCACACATCCCTCCAACTCACATGATAGGGAGCCAAGGATAACCCCATGATCTTACCGTCTGCGTGTCAATGGATGATATGTCTTCCAAAACACCCTGCATGGAAGTCAACGCCTTGGGTTTAAGTTGAGATTCCCAGTCTAACATAAATTGGGGAAAAAAATTAACTCCTTTCAGAAAAACATAGTACTATGAAATTTGAAACTGAAAATATGTTAATATATATTTTGGGGGGTTTTTGTTTGTTTTGAAATCAACTCTAAACTAGAGAAGAAAGTATCCATGAGTAGGACTGTGTGTAGCAGTCATAGAAATGAGGGCAAAATGACAGAGTCCATGAAGACTGAGACTGATACTTCCAGGAAGGGCTGTTATTAGAAAAGCAAGTAAGAAGCACTGGGCATGGCGCTTCATGCCTATAATCCCAGCTACTCAGGAGGCTGAAACAAGAGGATCACTTGAGTCCAGGAGTTTGAAACAAGGCTGGGCAACATAGCGAGACCCCATTTCTAAGAAAAAAAATTTTTTTTAATTAGCCAGGTGTGGTAATGTGCCTGTAGTTCCAGCTACAAAGGAGGCTGAGGCAGGAGGATCACTGGAACCCAAGAGTTCAATGCTGCAGTAAGCTATGATAATGCCATTGCACTCTAGCTGGGGTGACAGAGCAAGACCCTGTAAAGAAAGGAAGGGAAAGGGAGAGAGAGAGAGGGAGAGATAAACGGGGGGAGGAGGGAGAGAGATAGAGAAAGAGACAGAAAGAAGGAGGGAAGAGAGAGGGAGGAAAAGAAAGAGAAAGAAAAAGAAGGAAGGAGGAAGGAGAGATAGGCAAGTAAGAAGCAACCAGAAAAAGAATACACATCGAAATGTTAAATTTAAAGAAGAATTGGAAAACAAGTAAATATCAGAATGCAAAAGGGTGCACCTGTTTTGGAAAGCAGTTTGACAGTTCTTCAAAAAGTTAAGCATCGAGTTCATACATGACCCAGTAGTTCCACTCCTAAGTACATATATACTCAAGATAACTAAAAAACATGTCCACTTAAAATCTCATACACAAATGTTCACAGCAGCATTATTCAAAAAGCTAAAAAGTGGAAACAATCCAACTATCTATGAAATGATCAAGAGATAAAATGTGGCTTATCCATACAATGTAGTATTACTAAGCCTTAAAAATGAAGTTCTGATTTATCCTACAACATGGATGGATCTTAAAAACATTACCTATGTGAAAAACAGATACTGTTATCATTTGAATGTGTCCCCAAAAGTACAGGAGTTGGAAAGTTAATCACCCATGCAACAGGGTTGGGAGGCAGGACCTTTAAGAGGAGACTAGGTCAAGAGGGCTCTGCCTTCATGAATAGATTAAGGTCAGTATCTCAGGAGTAACTTAGTTACTACAAAAGTGGGCTTGTTATAAATGCAAATTCAGCCCCCTCTTACTCTCTCGCCATTTGATGTCTTCTGCCGTGTATGACACAGCAAGAAGACCCTCACCAAAGGTGGTCCTTGGAGACTTCCCAGTCTCCAGAACCACGAGCCACATAAACTTTTGCTGTTTATAAAATACCCAGTCTCTGGTATTCTCTTATAGCAACGCAAAACAGACTAAACCAGATAGATACCAAAGGATACATATTATATGATTCCATTATATAAAATGTCCAGAATAGACAAACCACAGAGACAGAAAACAGGTTAGTAGTTGTCAGGGGCTGAGGGAGACAGAAATAGGGAGTGACTATTAATGGGAACATGGTTTCTTTTGGGGGTGAGGAAAATGTTCTGGAATTAGATACTGATGATAGTTGCACAACACTGTGAACCACTGAACTGCATACTTTTTTTTTTCTTTTTTGAGTCGGAGTCTTACTCTGTCACCCAGGCTGGAGTGCAATAGCACAATCACAGTGGCTACTACAGCCTCCTGCTGGGCTCAGGCGATCCTTCTGCCTCAGCCTTCCAAGTAGCTGGAACTACAGGTGTGTACCACCACACCAGGCTAAGTTTTTTAGTTTAGTGTAGAGATGGGGTCTCACCATGTTGCCCAGGCTGGTCTCAAACTACTGGATTCAGGCCATCCTCTTGCCTTGTCCACCCAAAGTGCTGGGATTACAGGTATGAGTCACTGCACCCAGCTGAATTATACACTTTAAAGGGGTGAATTTCATGATATGTGGTTTATATCTCAACTTTTTTTAATAAAAGAGAAAATGAAATAGACGCTTTTCTGTGACCAAAGGAAAGTATGAGAGGAGGGCTAGGAAGTGAAAAAAGAAGAGATGCTAAAGGAACCTGAGAAACCTCACCCCAAATACCCCTGGATGTGACCTCCAAATAAAGGGCCTCTGAAAATGCTCTCCACCTGACAGTTCGCAGGGCACGCCCCTAACCAGGGAGTGCTGGGGAATCTACAACCTGCCAGGTACTCACCTATGCCTGTGGCATGGAGGATCCCTTGTTCTGCTGCCCTTGGCCCCAACTGGGAGATCAACCTGGGTTTGCATGGTGGAGCTCCTGTTCATGGAGAAAAACGCACATGCTGAGGGAGGGTGAAGGAGGGAGGGTGAAGGAGGGA